AAATGATAAGTATCTTAGGCGTTCGGTTTTGTTTCTTTGGCTGAGAAGAATTTCGTCATAGTTACAGGAAAATATTCGAATATTGTTATTTGATACAGAACACTGATCGCTACGGCTCATTTTAATCATGATTTGATCCGAGATAAAGTAATCTATTGGAGAACCACCTTAGGTCAATATTTATCATCTAGTGAGGACCAAAGGAGATCTGCTGAAATTAGTATAGATTGTTCTGTATTTGTGGAAATAGCCACGAATATTAATTCTTCATACACCCAGATTTACATTACTATTACCATAATATTCAAAGAATAAATTGAATAGCAATCCAGTCGCATTAATATCGTTATTCTAGTCGCTATAGTTTTATAAATCATAAAAATTGACACGCCGAATAAACGAAAAAAAACAATTACTTTAGTATTTTGTAATGCTGATTACTATGAGGCAACGACACTGAGTGAAGAAAAACCTTATCAATGATTTGTGACTTTCATCATAATGAATCTATTTATTTAAATTTTCGTATTACTATTATTAAATCATAGCTGATTTATTAATTCTAAGTATTAACAATTATCTAGATTTGAATATTCCATAAAGATATCAACTAAGATAGCATAAATCGAATAAGTGATTACAGGTAAAGGAAGACCAGGTATAGCCTTTTCTACATTCCAAAAGGCTGCGATTCGAATCGTTGCCATATATCCAACTTGCACACTAATTATACCACCGATTGCCACACAAATTTTAGCAGTCATAGGCAATATTGGTGGCAATACAAATAATAGCATGAGGTTGTAATAAAAGAAATCGCCAAGACCAAGTATTGGAATATGCTTATCCTCATCCATTATACCATCTATTGGATCGTCGACATAATAGAATCTAGGTTCAAGAATTAACCTATTGAATAATGGAGATTCTGATGATACCACTAACGATAAATTATGCAGGCGACCATGTGGATGTAGACAGTCAATGCTACAATAAAACAAGAATAAACAAATGATTATGAAGAGAAAATTCATGGAATTCTCGAATAGCAATTTTCAGTCTTTTTATTGGCTCTATAATAAAGATCAATATGAAAACGTTTATTACTGAATTCATTCTTGAGTATGAATAGAGATGTGTAGATCAAATATCCTAGCTTGATGTCTGGTTAATAATCTAAATGGAGTCTTTTTTTCTGATTAGTGTCTAACTCGTCCTTATAAAGGTAACATGAACTTCTGGTTTGTGCCTAGCCTCATTAGTTTCTCTCATACGATTCAAAATCGTTCTTCTATCTTTCCTTTCACATTTTATTTCTAAGTAGGTGATCATGCATTCTTTAAAAAATTCAGTTTTACAGCAATTACGTTACTTTGTTCACTTTCTTTTATCTATGCGAATTGCTATTAATTTTAGAAATCTGTAAAAATTATCTTATATTTTAATGTGTCCGGAAATGACAATGTATCCACGACAGTTGATTGAGTACTAAATAGTGACTGCATAATGACAAATACTATTTAATATATCTTATGACTTATTTAATTATTCGAACCGTTTAGCATGTCGTTAAAATTAGTCAACTTAGGGAACAAGTGAGAAGAAATCAAGTATACTGTTCAAACATGAACAAAGAGGGATGAAATAGATAATAAAAAATTAATCTGATTATTCAACGTTATGTCTTTCCTGGAGATGAATAAAGTTTGCTCTTTCTCGAATTGAAGTCACCAATTTCGGTTCCAATTTTGATGAGCAATGGTTCGTTCTTAATCGCTCATCACTAATCGGAAAGTTATTATTCGATTTTCATAAACCATATCTGCTGTAATGTATTTTATCCTCAAAATACCATTAATTATGTTGTCGGCATCAAACTAAATTCTTTCTATTTTTATCAAGAGTGAAACTCCTTTGGCAGTTAATGTTCAATATACAATTAACTGTCTATTTCTGAAACTGATATAAGGTATCAAAAATTTTTTGCCATATTATTACAAGTTATAACTTATTTTTATTACCAGTCTTTAATAGCAAGAAACCGCAGAAGACCAAATTTGTAACGAATTGGAAGATAACGAAGTACCGTATCATAGGTAGCGTATGAAATAAATGCTACAAATGTACATAATAATGCTTGATGAAGAGTGAATGAAAACCACGGAAGTTCCTCAGAATGCCATTTGTAGATTAAAAATATGAACTGCCACATAAGGAAGAAACCAGTAAACACATCTATTTGACACCGGAAACTGCAAGCATTGCAGAAACGAGTCACAAACCAAACAGCGATCAATGTGAATACAATCGGTTTTACATTTTTTTTCACTGGTTCAACGTGATATCTTGTCGGTAGGTCTTTCAAAGACAC